TTTAGGGAGAATTCTTTCTTTATCTTTTGGAGTAGTTTCAGTAGAATTGGTACCAATGCTTCTTTGAATGCCTAACAGAATTCAGCTGTTAATGCATCTGGTTCTGGATTTTTTTGTTGGAAATGATTTAAATTAATAATTTAATCTCTCTACTTGTTATTGATCAGTCTGTTCAGAGTTTCTTTTTTTCCTGATTTAATCTAGGAGGGTTGTATATTTTCAGGAATTTATCCGTTTCCTCTAGATTTTCTAGTTTGAATGTGTACATGTGTTCATAGTAGCCTTGAGTGATCGTTTATATTTCTGTGGTACCAGTTGTAATATCTCTCATTTCATTTCTAATTGAGGTTATTTGGATCTTCTCTCTTCTTTTCTTGGTTAATCTCACTAATGGTCTATTTTGCTTATTCTTTCAAAGAACCATCTCTTTGTTTCATTTAATCTCTTGTATTTTGTTTCAATTTTATTTAGTTATTCTCTGATCTTTGTTATTTCTTTTCTTCTGCTGTGTTTGGGTTCAATTTTCTCTTGTTTCTCTAGTTCCTTGAGCTGTGATTTTAGATTGTCTATTTGTGCCTTTCAGACTTCTTGATGTAGGCATTTAATGCTATGAACTTTCCTCTTAGCACTGCTTTTGCTGTATCCCAGAGGTTCTGATAAGTTGTGTCACTATTATTTTTCAAATAATGTTTTAATTTTCACATTGAATTCATTGCTAACCCCAAAATCACTCAAGAACAGATTATTCAATTTCCATATATTTGTATAGTTTTGGGGGCTCCTTTTGGAGTTGATTTCAGTTTTATTCCACTGTGGTCTGAGAAGATACTTGACAGGATGTTGATTTTCTTAAATTTATTGAAACTCATTTTGTGGCCTAGCATATGGTCTAACTTGGAGAATGTTCCATGTGCTGATGAGAAGAATGTACATTTTGGGAAGAATGTTTTACAAATATCAATTAATTCATTTGTTCTAGGGTATAGTTTTAGTCCATTGTTTCTTTGTTGACTTTCTGTTTTGATGACCTGTTTAGTGCTGTCAGTGGAGTACTGAAGTCTCCCGCCATTATTGTGTTGTTGCCTATCTCATTTCTTAGGTCTAATAGTAATTGTTTCATAAATTTGGGAGCTCTGGTATTAGATGCATATAAACTTAGGATTGTAATATCTTCCTATTGGACCAATCCTTTTACTATTATATAATGTCTTTCTTTGTCTTTTTTACTGTTGTTGCTTTAAAGTCTGTTTTGTCTGATATAAAAATAGCTACTTCTGCTTGATTTTCATTTCCATTTGTGTGAAATATTTTTTTTCTACCCCTTTATCTTAAGTTTATGTGAGTCCTTATGTGTTAGGTGAGTCTCTTGAAGACAATAAATATTTGGTTGGTAGATTTTTATCCATTCTGCCATTCTTTATCTCTCAAGTGGAGCATTTGGGCCATTTACATTCAATGTTAATATGGAAATGTGAGGTGCTGTTCTATTCATCATGTTAGTAGTTGCCTAGATACTTTTTTTTTCAATGTGTATTATTTTACATGGCATGTAAGATTTATGCTTCAAGGAGGTTCTATTTTGGTGTATATCAAGGTTGTTTCATAATTGGGAACTCCTTAGCATTTCTTGTAGTGCTGGTTTGGTAGTGGCAAATTCAGCATTTGTTTGTCTGAAAAAGACTTCGTCTCTCCTTCAATTATGAAGCTTAGTTTTGCTGCATACAAAATTATTGGCTGACAATTATTTTGTTTAAGGAAGCTAAAGATAGTACCCAATACCTTCTGTCTTGTAAGATTTCTGCTGTTAGTCTAATAGGTTTTCCTCTGTAGGTTACCTGATACTTTTGTCTCACTGTTCCTAAGATTCTTTCCTTCAACTTGACTTTACACAGCCTGATGATTATGTGCCTTGGTGATAATCGCTTTGTAATGAATTTCCCAGGAGTTATTTGAGTTTCTTGCATTTGGATGTCTAGCTCTCTAGCAAGGCCACAGTTTTCCTTAATTATTCCCTCAAATAACTTTCCCAAACTTTTAGATTTCTCTTCTCCGGAACACCAATTATTCTTAGGTTTGGCCATTTTGCATAATCCCATATTTCTTAGAGACTTTATCCTTTTTTTGTTTTCTTTTTGTCTTTGTCTGATTGGGTTAATTCAAAAGTCTTGTCTTCAAGTTCTGAAATTCTTTCTTCTACCTGTTCTAATCTATTGTTGAAACTTTCCACTGCATTTTCTATTTCCCTAAGTATATCTTTCATTTCCAGATGTTCTGATTATTTCTTTATGATATCTATTTTACTGAAAAATTTTCATTCATATTCCAGATTTGTAAAAATTCTTTAAGTTGGCTTTTATCTTTCTCTGGTATTTCCTTGAGTAGCTTAATAATCAACCTTCTGAATTATTTGTTTGGCATTTCAGAAACATCTTGGTTTGAATCCATTTCTTGGGAACTAGAGTGATCTTTTGGGGGTGTTTTAGAACACTGTTTTTTCATATTCAAAGAATTACTTTTCTGGTTTCTTCTCATTTGGGTAGACCATTTCTTCACATTATTCTTTATTTTTGTTTTGACTGTGGGGTATTTTTCTATTTCTTTTTTTCCCCATTTTAAGGATCAGACTTTAGTGGCTTTAATGTTTATGGTTTATTTTAGCATAATTTAATTCTTGGTGCTTTTAGGGGGAAAACACTGTATGAGTTCCTTTATCATAGAGAGTCTTTGTGCTCTGGCTTTCCCAGATGCTGGTTGTAGTAGTTATGTACTTGGAGTGTGGGCCAGTTGACTGTCTCCTATGGGATTGGAGTGGTAGGGATCTCTTGAGGCTTATCTCATTCTCTCATAGAATACACTTTATTTATTTGTTTAAATTTTCCCAATATTTTATTTACTGAGTTGATGATTCAGGCTTCAAGCTGGTAAGGGAGGTATCTTTAGGTAGGCACTGGTTGTAGCCAAAGCAGGCTTGTAGATACAATACGCACTGGAGAGCAGAGGTCCCACCCTTGATGAATGTGGCTGGCAAAGCTCTCAATTAGATGTGCAGAGGTTTTATCAGAATGAAGAGTGGGCGCCACATCAGTTCCCCTGCCTGGCCAGCAGGTAGGCTCTCTACCTCACAGTCTCACTCTTGTCCCAATGTTCGAGCCATTCAGATCATATAAGCACCTCTTTTCATTGTAGAAATGTTACTCTTCCACCTAGGAAGGAATTCTGGCTCTGCCTCTCATGCAGCCCTGACTCTGGGCAGTGCTCCTCCTGTGGGGCTAGAATCACCCTGAATTGTTCCAGGAAGGCTATCTACAGGTGCATCCACATTTCAATCCCATGGGAGAAGACACAGCTGTGTCTGCAGTATGTGCCAGGGGAACAAAAACCCCGTCTCCAAGGCCCTTTATGATCATAGAGGCTGCTGCCTGCTGGCATAGGCATACATATTTTTACTACTGTGCCCAGCACTGCAATTGTATCTCTGCTATAAGAAACTTCCCACCAGAAGAAAAATCAGGGACTAAAGTCCTGCCATTCAGATTTTTTTGTGCCACACGGTGACTCCCCTATGTGGTACTCTCCCCCTTCTGCCAGGACTGGGCTTTCCAAGAGCTGGACTGCAGTGGTTGTTATTGCTCTTCTGGGTCTAGCCCACCAGTGGGACTACCAGGCTTTGGGCTGGTACTGAGGATATCTGCAAAGGATCCAGTGATGTGACCTGTCTTCAGGTCTCCCAGCAATGGATACCAGCATCTGCTGTGATGGTGATAGCAGGGGTGTGACACAGACTCTATGAGATTCCTTGGTTGTAAATAGGTTTAGTGTGCTGGCTTTTTCAATTGTTAGTTATGCTAGCAGTGAATTTGTGATATGGACAGACTCACGACCACTGTTTAACCAGCATGTTGCAGGCAGCGGTGTTAGCTGGGATCTCACAGTCATTTTCTCTTCCCTAGGTTCAGTGTTACTCTATTGAGAGGTGTTGTAATGGCCTGAGTTTGTTGGCCTCCAGCCGGGAGGTACCACTTGCAAAAGAGCACCAGCTGCATTAACCTTTTCCTAAATTGTCCAGGGGAGGTGTTCTGGCTTCTCAAGCAACGGGCAGGGCTATAAAGCTCCCAGATGTTTATATATTTGTGTTAAGTTACCAGGGAAGAAAGAGAAATACCATCAGGTGGAGTCAGGATTAGACAGGCTCAAGCTCAGACTTTCTTTGTGCAGGGCCTGCCTCAGCCAGTCTGAAGGTGGTAACAGAAGGTGGTTCTCAGGCCACCGGGGTAATGTTCCAGAGGAAAGTATAACTGTCTCTGCTGTGCAGAAGAGTTCACAAGGGAAGTAGAGATTAGCTGACAGCACTAGTTCCCACCCAGCTCCCACACAGTTGGTGAGGCTAGTCTCACTCCCACAGTGTCCCACTAACAGCGCCAGGTTTAGATCAGGCAGCCTGCACATAGAACTCAGACCTGACCCAGGCCATAAGCTTCCCTACAGAAGCTTAGATCCAGGCAGCCTGCGCACAGAACTCAGATCTGACCCAGGCCATAAGCTTCCCCACAGAGACAGCAATAACAACTTTAAGGCCATTCCCCTCCCGATCTGCCCACAAGGCCAGGCACCCAGCTTCTATGCTTTTGTCTGCAGCACACTTCCTGCTCACCCCTGGATTCTGTTCAAGAGAATTTGCCCCCACTCAAAATTATATCACTAAATTGAGTTAGGAGCTTCTTTCACCCTGGTATCCTGCCCTGAGTTCGCTGGCTAACTTCCCCAAGGGCACCTGTGAGAAATAATCAGGAATGGTTTCCTTCGGCTCATGCTGCAGACTGTCAATGCCTACAAGGCACTTCCCACTGCTGCTGCTTCTTTAATATTTCACATTTCTGCCTAAATTCATTCCAGCTCTCAGTAGGGTTAAGGTCTTCTCCCATGATCTAGGTTTTCAGATTCCCCAGTAGGGATGTGTGTTTGAACCCAGGTTCGCCCCCTCTCACGCTCTGGGTACTTACAATTTTTCACCTGTCTCATGGAGTAGGCTACAGCCTGCTGCTTTTTTCAAAGGCTCTGTGAATTCTTTCAGTTTTCCTGGTAAGATCCTGTGGTGGTTCATGGAAAAAAAAATTAACAGTGTGAATCTCCACCCACTATTGTATCCTTTCAAGTGGGAGTGGGACACCAACATTACCTCCTATCCACCATCTTGAAAAAAAACACAATGGGTTTTTCTTAAATGATCCAACAGTATGCTGTCTATGAGAAAGTCATCTTATCCATAAAGACATACACAGGCTGAAAAAAATAAAGGTGTGGAAAAAGATATTCCACACAAACAGAAACCAAAAGTGAACAGGGGTAACTATACTCTTATATCAGGTAAAACAAGCTTTATTACCAAAAACACTAATAAAAGAAAAAGAGAGTAATTATATAAAGATAAAGGATCAAATCAGCAGGAGGATATAACAAACCTAAATATATAGGCACCCAACATCAGATCACCCAAACTCACAAAACAAATATTACTAGACCTAAAGAAACAGACAGCACTATAATAATAGTAGGAGACTTTAGCACCCCACTCATGGCACTAGACAGGTAATTGAGACATAAAATTAACAAAGAAACATTGAACTTAAATTGAACTTTAGACAAAATGGACTTACCAGTTTTTTATATAACATGCTACCCAACAACTACAAAATGTTCATTCTTTTCATCAGCATATAGAATATTCTTCAAGATAGACCATGTGTAGGCCACAAAGCAAGTCTTAACAATTTTTAAAAAATAAAAATCATACCAAGTATCTTCTCAGATCATGGTGGAATAAACTTAGAAATCAGTACCAAGAAGAACTTCAGAAACTATACAAATATATGAAAATTAAACAGCATGCTCCTGAATGATTACGGAGTCAACAAAGAAATTTAAATGGAACTTTTTAAAAAAAAAATTGAAACTAATGAAAATGAAAAGACAACAAACCAAAACCCATGGGACACAACAAAAGCAATGCTAAGAGTAAAGTTTACAGTATTAAATGTCTACTCCAAAAAAGTAGAAAGATCACAAATTAACTACCTAATGGCACATCTTGCAGAACCAGAAAAACAAGAACAAAGCAAAACCAAAGTTAGCTGAAGAAAACAAATGACAAAAATGAGAGCAGAACTAAATAAAATGAGACCAAAAAAAAGATCAATGAAATAAAAAGTTGGTTGTCCAAAAAGATAAATGAAATTGATAAACCATTACCTAGATTAATTAAAAAGAGAGAGGCTCCAAATAAACACAATCAGAAATGAAAAAAGAGACATTACGACTGATACCACAGAAATACAAAAGATCATCAGAGACTATTATGAACAACTATTTGTTAACAAACTAGAAAACCTAGAGGAAATGGATAAATTCATGGAAACATACAACCTTCCAATATTGATTCAGGAAGAAATAAAACTCCTAAACAGACCAATAATGAATAGCAAAATTTAGTCAATAATTTAAAAACTCTCCCCACACAAAAAAGCCCAGGACCAGATGGATTCACATTCAAATTCTACCAACTATACAAAGAATAATTAATGCCAATCCTCCTGAAACCATTAAAAAACATGAGGAGGAAGGAATTATCCCTAATTCATGATATGAGATCAATGTCACCCTCATACTAAAACCAGACAAGGGTGCAGCCAAAGGAAAAAAAAAAATGACAACAACTACATGTCAATATTTCTGATAAACATAGATGCAAAAATTCTCAACAAAATACTTGCAAATCAAATTCAATAACACATTATAAAGATAATATAAAAAAGAATGAAAAGAAAATATAGAAGACTTTTTGAATTGCTAAATATTAGATATACATTATATGTTTTTTTCACTGAAGGCTAGGATAGATGGAGAATATATATTTTATAGAAAAAAGAATGTAAAAAAAAAAGAAAAAAAGAGAAATAATTTATATACGCCATAAACTGAGAGTAATGTTTCCTGAGAGAATCAGAGCACAGATAGATACAGACACAAGTCCTGAGCTGACTAAAAGACTGTATGCTTTTTCCATTCTCAACATGCTCCAACAATTCTAAACAATATCAGTGATGAAATACTCCTTTGCAAAAAAGTATCTTGTTGGTCTCATTTCTAAATTCCTGAGATTACCGTTGACTTTTAATATCCTAGTGTAATGTGACCTTTAAATTAGCACTGTTCTTTAATAAAATCTATCTGTTCTTTAATAAATGTCATATTCCACATGAAATTTGAAGAACTACCAGTTCACAAGACATTTGTAATGGCTCAACATTCTTTGAGTTTGTCTTTCCAAATGCTGTCATTGTACGTATTCCTGAGTTTATATACAAAGATTGTATGTGATTGTAAAAATGAAGAAAACTAACATGAGCTATTCATTTTTGTCATTCTAGGTGACTACTTGAAGTTCATATGTTTAAAATTTTTGAGAATGAAACAAAAGAAACTGTATATCGTTAAGTGTCTATTTTAGGTTATACATGAAGTAATATGTTGAATTTTTGTAACTTTTTTCAAGTTGAAATTTTATCTTTCTTAATTGTTCATTTCTGAAATAAAGGATAAATAAAAAATTAAAAAAAAAAAAAGATAATACTAACCAGGCATTGCAGCTTATACATGTAATCTCAGCACTTTGGGAGGCTAAAGCAGGAGAAATGCTTGGGGCCAGGAGTTTGGGGCCAGGAGTTTGAGACCAGCCTGGGCAACATACTGAAATCTTGTCTTTCCTAAAAATTTAAAAATTAGCTGGGTATGGCAGTGCACACCTGTAGTCCCAGCTACTCAGGAGGCTGAAGAAGAAAGATTGCTTGAGCCCAAAAGTTTGAGCTTAAAGTCAGCTATGATTGTATCACTGCACTCCATCCTGGATAACAAAGCAATACCATGTCTCAAAAAAGAGAGAGATAAAGACAGAGAGAGAGAGAATGCAAGGTTGGTTTAACAGACACAAATCAATAAATGTGATACATCACATAAACATAATTAAGGACAAAAAACAAAATCATCTCAATAGATGCAACAAAAGCATTTGATAAAATTCAGCCTCTGTTCATTATAAAAATCTTCAACCAACTAGGCATAAAGGAACATACCTCAACATAATAAAGCCCATATATGATAACCCTACAACAAATATCACACTTAATGGGGAAAATTGAAAGCATTCTCTCTAAGAACTGGAATAAGACAAGGATGCCCACTTTCACCACTCCTATTTAACATAGTATTGCAAGTCCTTGCCAGAGCAATCAGGCAAGAGAAATAATAAAAACTATCTAAACTGAAAAAGAGAAAGTCAAATTATTCTTGTTCACTGATTGATTATATAATCTTATATCTAAAAAACCCTAAAGACGCCACCAAAAAACTTTAGGATTTGACAAATGAACTCAGTAAATTTTCAGGATATAAAATTAATATGCAGTAGCATTACCATAATGGTCTAGCCATGATCCAAATTAAGAAGGCAATCTCACTTATAAGAACTTCCAAAAAAATTAATAAAATATCTGGGGATATATTGAACCAAGGATGTAAAAAAATCATTTTAGGGAGAATTACAAAATACTGATGAAAGAAATTATGGATGACACAAACTAATGGAAAAACATCCCATGCTTATGGATTGGAAGATATAATTTTTTTTTTCTTCTAGATGGAGTCTCATTCTGTTGCCCAGACTGAAGTGCAGTGGCACAATCTTGGCTCACTGCAACCTCCACCGCCCAGGTCTAAGCAATTCTCCTGACTCAGTCTCTTGAGTAACTGGGACTACAGGCATGCGCCACTACACCCAGCTAATTTTTGTATTTTTAATAGAGATGAAGTTTCACCATGTTGGCGAGATTGGTTTCGAACTCCTGACCTCAAGTGATCCACCCACCGCAGCTTCCCAAAGTGCTGGGATTACAGGCATGAGCCACTGTGCCCAGCTGAATTAATATTCTTAAAATGACCACACAGCCCAAAGTAATCTACAAGTTCAATGCAATCCCTATCAAAATACCAATGTCATGTCCACAGAGAAGGTTTAAAAAAATATACCAATGTCAATTTTCACAGAATTAGAAGAAATAATTCAGAATTCAGAGCTAGAAAAAATGAATTCATATGGATCCAAAAAGGAGCCCAAATAGCCAAAGCAATCCTAAGGGAGGGGGAATAAACAAAGCTGAAGGCATCACATTGTCTGACTTTAAATTATGCTACAAGGCTATAGTTACCAAAACAGCATGATACTGATACAAAAATCAACATAGATTAATAGAACAAAATAGAGAGGCTAGAAATAAAACCACACACAGCCAACTGATCTTTGACAAAATTGACCAGAACATACACTGGAGAAAGAATATCCTTTTCAATAAATTGTGCTGAGAAAATCGAATTGCCATATGCAGAAGAATGAAACTGGACCCCTATCACTCACCAAATACAAAAATCAACTCAAGATAGATTAAAGACTTGCATGTAAGAAACTGACACTATAAAATTGCTAGAAAAAAAATAGGGAGAACTCTTGTAGACTGTGGTCTAGTCAAGAATTCATGAAGAAGACCTTGAAAGCACAAGCGACAAAAACAAAAATAGACAAATGGAATTTAAAGTTAAAAGCTTCTGCATAGCAAAAGAAATAATCAACAGAGTGATAATCTGTGGAATGGGAGAGAATATTTGCAAACAATACATCCAAGAGGGGACGAATATCCAGAATTTACAAGGAACTCAAACAACTCAACAACAAAAAACAATTCCATTAAAAAGTGGGCTAAGCAACAAACATATGAAAAAATGCTCATCATCACTGGTCATCAGAGAAATGCAAATCAAAACTACATTGAGATACCATCTCACGCCACTTAGAATGGTGATCATTAAAAAATCTGGAGACAACAGATACTGGAGAGGATGTGGAGAAATAGGAACACTTTTACACTGTTGGCGGGAGTGTAAATTAGTTCAACCATTGTGGAAGACAGTGTGGCGATTCCTCAAGGACCTAGAAATAGAAATTCCATTTGACCCAGCAATCCCGTTACTGGGTATATACCCA